ACTATCACTTATGTAAAGAAACTGGAAAAAGTAGCATTATTATCACCTATTTGTGATCAACTATTGGTTTTAAGGCTGTATTTCCTGTCTGCCTTGATAAATATACTACGGAATGTTTCTATACTATTTTTAAATTGCTTTCGTGGTGAACTAACTGATCTCAAAGTATTCATGACAGATTTACGTCAAGTGGAGAACCTTAAAAAAAATCAGAGAGTACTGGATATTTGTTTTATCCTAGTTTGGGGATCATCAATAGTGGGCACCTACGAATCCATGTGCTACCGAACCCAATACCATGGAGTCTTGGGATGGGACTGTTTAGACATTAAACCATCCAGGGGAAGTTTGATCCAGTTTGGAAGAGACAGTTATGAAGTCCTTCATGGTTTCAGTGATTCTTCAGTTGTTATCTAACTATGATGAATATCATATTGTTTGCTTTTCCTTTATTTCTTTATTCGTTTGAACACTGACACATACATATAGAGTACATAACCAACTGACAACCCGTTTTATTTGATCATGTGTATGATCTGTTGTAGCAATAGGTAATAAATTCATTCTCTTATCTAGATGATATCTAAAACCCTCAGATATTGATCTACTCTATGGCGGGCACGCAGCACACTTCGAGTACGCAAACGACATTGTCCTGTTAGGCAACAGCGCTGATAAAATTCATGGTCTTCTGAATAGCTCGAGATCAAAAATCTGGCTATGTTAGGGTGGTATAAGTTTTCCACCTATCAAATATAAGTTGATACTTTGTGAATGGTCTGCAGCTACTTTCGGTTCGGGGATAGTGAGTGGAGTTACAGAGTACGTTGATAGTTTACTTGACAAGTTACACTAGTCCAGATAAGTAAGTTATTGACGAAATCTCAACTGGGATACAGCAGGCTCGTTTGGGATTTGTCAACTTGCGTCTGACACTGGCGTGACATACGATTGTGCCTGTTGAGGGACGAGAATATTGTGATGGGGTCCAATGTGTCGTGTTATACGGCTGTGTGTGAGACACGGTCGTTGAAGATAGAAGATATCAAGAGATTAAAGGTTTCTGACGACTGGTTTCCTCGTAGCATAATCAGCGTATGGTTGAATCACCATATGAGCAATTTAGAGGTTAGAAGAAATTTAATAGAAGTTGCGAAGCTTCATCGATTGAGGTGGCTTGGACATGTGTTGCGCTTGCCAATCCACCGCCTATCTCGGTGTGAAATGTTGGGAGAGGTTAGATTTGGCTGTGAGAGGACTTGGTACGGCCTGACCAAGATGTGACACCAGTGCATAAACTCTTTGACTGTTGGTCTGAACCGTGTGGGCAGGTGCAGACTACCTGACTGTGGTCCTCGAGACGGTGACAATCAGTAGTTGAGGAATTTTGTCGACATTACTGAAAATCGGTCATAATGGCTGAGATGTATTCACTCTTTGACGTTTTATACGGTTTGAATGTTTTGGCTAAGCTTGTAGTGAGCACATACTTCCACCTGTATAGTGTATTCTAAAAGTTGAGAAAATGGAGATGAAATGAGTTTGATTAGTTTCACTACTCTGTAAGCTTGAATTCTCTTGAACAGAGAGTTATACTAGATGTTTCTTCATGTGACACCGTTTGCCGTTTCCAGAGAATCTAACTATGGAGTGTGACTAAAGTCAGTGGTTTGATAACTCGGGAAAATCGAATGTCAAGCAATGAACAACGACCCACATTTTTATTGCCTTTCAATTTCGAGAAAAAATTCACAGGACAGAATAGTTTGTGATTCTAGTATCAATGACTAAACTAGACTAAAGCCCATTCATTTTTAAGTATATTCTCATAATCCATAACCATAGATGAAGTTAATTCACATGATGGCCTGCTTGAAGCTTGAACCGAAGCAATTTTCCACCGAATATGTTACATCCAATTACTCCCTTTCAGTTAGTACGTCTTTTAAACGTATAATGTACTCCAACACATTTTTAAAATGTTTCCAAGTCGCCATTTTGCATGTTAACAATAAAATGAAAAGGCGTCACAGTAAGTGACAATGAAGATTTAAACTCACAACAATACATCATATCACCATTCCTGAAATACTTAACTCGAATTGCAAATTTTTGAACTGGTTGGTTGAGCCACTACTAACTAATTTATGCTTGCTTTTCTATTGATTCTCTTTTTCAGACCAGACGATGACTTAACAACAGCTGGTTATTTCATGTTATTGCCTGTAATATTGTTATTACTAAAAATCCTGAAATCCTATGATTATTTCGTGTAAACATATTGTACAGGGAGTAAATTTAGTGAAGTATTACATACTGAAAATTCTAAACTGTTCAATATATTTTTTAGTGTTATTGCTTGTATTACACCGTCGTTGATTGGACCGGATTGATCACTCTTTGTTGGGATACAGACGCATCCAGCTGACGAGTCCCAAATAGGACGAAATGTGCATCCTGGACTCCACTGCCAGCCACTATCCATCATTACTATATGGTAAAGAACACAGGCAGTATTGAGGCATCCGCACAGGAGCCTATATGCCAGTATAGACTAATCAATTGGGTCCAGTCAAGGACGGTGTAATACAAGCAATAACACTAAAACTATACCCATCTCACAAGAAGCGTCTATCGTGGCTCATTGGTGTGGTGGATAACGCTCTCGCGTTTGGAGTGATCACTCCCCAGTTCGAGTCCCACTGGGAACAACATCACTCACTGGGAAGCATGTACATCCAGCTGATGAGTCCCAAATAGGACGAAATGCTCCTCGTGCATTCCACTGCTAGCCACTATCCATCATTCTGTCCAATATATTGTCTAGAACAAAGTGATTGTTATTATCACTATTATTATTGCTATGAATAGGTGACGAATAAATAAATCCTGTGCCTAGCGAAGCAACTCGCTGAAAATCAATGATGTGAGTATCGAAACCCTAACTTCGCCACTTCACAAGTGGAATTGCATGCAGATTATGTTTGGTCCCGCAGGTTCATGAGCTTTATTAATAAACATCACCTGTTATCAGATTGTAATAGTTTCCTACTTATAATTCCATGTTAGATTGTTTATTTGATTAGTTATAAAACACAGTGACACAGCATAGTTTGCTGGATGAGGTTCCGAGTAAAATTTATTGATCATATATCAAAGAAGTGCCCAAGTTTTCCTCTTGCACCTGCGAATAACTTGTGTCTTACAAGGAAAGTATAGTGCACAGAAGTATGCTGTCGTTATTATTATTATGCCGTAGTAATTGTTGATAGACTTTAATGTCTAATTTAAGAGTAAAACTTGTGCACTGTGGAAGAATGTAATTCCATTTTAATTGATTTATTAGATGCATCACACAGCGAAACAGTATCATTTACTGCATAACGTTTCGGATACAATTTATTGTCCTTATTCATATCAAGTAACTCCACAGCTTTGACACAGTTTATACAGTTCTCATTCTCTCTCCTTTTTGATAAGGGTAGTAGAATTTTCTATATACCTCGGATACGTGCTGAGTCATTCATATTATGTGTATTAGATGTTAATTTGATGAACAAAGATTCGGTTATCAATCTCTCCCTCCACCCCAATAAGTTAGTTTTAAGGATTTTCAACCTGTCCTATCCTATTGTATGGTTATATGCAATTTGCATATATACCTATGGGAGAGATTTTTTCTAAATTCCTTATCTTAATGGGATCTACCAATTTCGACCTAGCTAGGTTTTATGCTCCGATAGCCTAATTAACTGACCCTGTTTGACTACTTTAACCTATGTATTTGGCCTTGCAATCATTGGATGGGTTTGGAAAACTAAATTATTCTGCCTAGTTGAATCAATCGGATCTTTAAACCAACAAAGGTTATTTCTGAACGATTTTGTGTGTTAAAATGTCTCTGTGATCCTAGCCTTATTGAGAATCTTGTCCAATGCTTCTGAGGTACATTACTTGTATTGTAATACTGCAGAGGTTTTGAATTCTCTCTTAACAGTATTGCCACTATTATTATGGTGATGATTAGTACTGTTATTAGTACTACTAATAGTACATGTATTACTGATATCAGTCGTATTTTTTTTGTGATTCCTAAGGTACCCAATAATCAATTTAGGAGGGTAGTCATTGATGAGTAAAGTATCCTTAATGTGTCTGATTTCTTGTCTTACATCCTCTGTTTTACTAGTAAGCTTTTTGGCCGTATTATTTAGACATTCTACTAAACCAACGTTAACTGACATAATATAAGATGAGACTATTTGACTTCAATCGTCACAGAAGACTAGAACTGGGACGTGTGTGGCTGTTTGAAAACCGCGGCATATACAGCTTTTATTTCTTAAAGAAATAAAAAAATGTTTGGTTTCATTGATGGATTTTCTTGACTTTTAATCAGTCATTTATAAGTTTGTTGTTCGCGTCTGAACCTTCAATGTTGATCGGTTGAAACTGGCCTACAACATAAACCGTTGGATATAATAGTGTAAGTTATTATTACAGATGAAATAGATTTGTAAAATACTAATGAAGTAGAAAAGTAAACTTCTGACGTTTCGCGACTTCGTGAAAGTTTATTTTTCTACTTCATCGTGATTTTACAAGTTTATTTCATTTATAATCCATTTACTCAATGTTCAACATATTCAACTTTATCAGGTCAAATTTCGATCCTGAAGTTTGTAAGTTATTATGTTCTTCTGTGACGAAGAGACCCTATTCAGGGAAAGGATAGTGATAGTATGTTATTTTATTGGTGCTTGGAACTGTAATTCGTTTATGCAGACTATGGGCTTTTAGTCCTTGAATCGTACTTTGAAAATCCAGCTCCGCTCACCAAATTATATACTTTTTTGGTCCGCTACACAGGCGTTGCTGAAAACTAGGACAAAAGCATGTATATGTACATTTGAAGTAATGATTATTGTTTCATTATCCTGATGCTGTTTTGTTGTTCGTTATTTTGAAAACTGGTGTTTTACCTTCATTTGTTTGCCTAGATATGACCCAGACATGGATCAGTGGATACCTATAGCTTCAATGCACAGTCGAAGGATTGGATTAGGAGTCGCTGTACTTAATCGGTGAGTTCTTCTGTTCATAAACATATTCTGCTGATCAAGCTGTGACATACGCAGGGAAACGTTCAGAAAAATCTTGTTTTCGATTTTCTAAACACGGGATTATATTGAAACTTACCTATATAATGAAGTTCTTCTGTTTCTTCTACGTCATTTCATACTTAACTGTTGATCTTTTTGCATTTTAACCGCACAGGTTGATCACCGGTAGGGTAACCCATTGTAGACACTTATTCCTAAGTGTGAAATGTAGCTACTAGACTAAGTGGAGTGTACTGTTTTACACTTTATTCATTGTTAGGTATTAAGACGTCATCGGTAATGAGTCAGGAACCCAGTTTCTGTCTTCATTACTCATCAATAAGCAATATCTGAGACTTGGTGAAACCTATTGCCTTCATAGGTGTCTTAACCCTTGTCACCCAGTATTACAGTTCAAGACTTTACCACTGTGTTATTCAGCTAACGAATAATTCCTTTCAGAATCGGAATCGGCAGAATAATTAGTCACGAGATGGTAACATAGTGTTATCTCTGTTGTAGTCTTATAGGTCGAAAGAATCGTTTTGAATCTAATACATGAAATCAAGTGTGTTGGGATACTTCTTTAGGTTCTACTGCTAGTCAGTACTTACTTAATTGAATTGAGTATTAACAATTACTTGCGTATTATATAAACCATCCGAATGTATTCATACCTACAAGTGGCGATACAACTCAACTGATCAAACATTTGATCATATATATATATATATATATATATATATATATATATATATATATATATATATATATATATATATACAAAACTGAAGACTATGCAGTAGTCTTTTTGCTCCACTTTAGCATTGTGGAACAATGTGAATCTTTAAACCCTTTAGGAATAAAATGATGCATTATTTTGTAAAAAAAAGTTGAACTTCTCCTACGAATAAACTTACCTCTCCATCTCAATGAGTGTTTTGTGTTCCAATTCATTTTCAATCTCAGCAAATACCTCTAATTTTGTATTCTGTTAGAATTAACACACTTATTTCATACACAAATATAGGCTAGTGAATTCGATCCGTTAAATAAGTGTCTGTTTTGCATCAAACTTAGTTAGTCAACTGTATAGGTGAAATAGTTGACCACAGTTCTGCATTGAAAGCTGTAAATGTTGGACTTGATTTCAAGTACTTATGAACATTGCAATGCAGATACATTGTGAGTTATATTAAGTGCTCATTTTGGATTTCATATTCAGTTACCAACAGAAAAGTACCATTACAATGGGGGTCTTATGAGTACTAATTCATTTTGAAAAGTTACTTATTGCAAGTATTACTGAGTATCACTGTCCTATAGTTCTGTCAGTAAAAGTCGATAAGTTGTCATGTCACTGTTATTATTATTAATGGTGTCATAATTGCCCTTGACAGTTGTATTTACAATGCTTTTATTGATTATGTGTGCTTAACAATTAACACTTTTGGCTTAGTGTCTGGTTTTTCTCAAGTAAAAATTGGATGTTTTTGTCTGCTTGGTGGCTGCTAATGGAATCCAGGACCCGCTTTCGTCCCATTAGGGACTCGTCAGCTGGATGTGTCTGTTCCCGGTGAGTGATATTGTTCCCACTAGGACTTGGACGGAGTACCCATCGCTTCAAAACCCAAAGGGTTATCCGCTAGGCAACTGGGTACGTCCAGCTGACGAGCGCCAAGTAGGGCGAAATGCGCCTCCTGGGTCCGATTTCTGATCGCCAAGCATAGGAGCCCATCTGTAAACAGAGGTCGAGCAATTCGACCCAGTATGGCAACGGGAGATTACAAATATCAAACACCGGCAAAAATTACATAGTTACAGTGTTTGCGTTGATTTGTTAACTCTTATGTGTGTTTGCAAACATTACTGCTACCAAATTATGCCTGCTAAGTGGTATTTGTTGTTTTAATTACAATAGTGAGGTATCATTCACCACTTTGTGTAGGCTAATCAATTGCTGTTTGAACCATTTCAATTTAGGTGTTTATTCTTGTTTATCTGCTTTTAGTGTTACTACCCTCAGGAATTTAGACTACGAGCAAATCTAATGCCTACTAGAACCTTAGGGTGGGGGGGGGGAAAGGGTGAACTAGGGTTTGAAAGTTAACTCCTTAAACCGATTAGTTACGTTACTGCAAACTTATCAACCAAATGTACGTGTAGATATTGTGATTAGAAGACAAAGTTTATCTGAACAATGCAATGTATTTTCACAAAGCATTTTGAAAAATATCATACACCTACTTGTTAAGTTGATTTATATTAAACCGACAAATAGAACAAAAGAGGATTAAAAGTGAGTGGGATGAGAACAAAAAGAAGAGTGACAGTTGATCCTAATCTTGATAAAAAAAAAACTTCACCAAGTAAATGTATTATCAGATTGTTTGAAATGTGTCACTCACATACATTACATTGTTCAAATAAACTTCGTCTACTAATCACACCAAACTCATAAAAGGGAATAATTGTGTAAAATGAATGTTTGTGTACCAGGTCTTAAACAAGATATCGTATACACTGCATAAAAGTTATTGATACTACTGAGCCTGTCAAGTCAATATAGACAGAGTAGGTTGATGCTTTAGTACCTACACCAGACCTTGAAACATTGATGATTATTGAATCCATGGAGTGATGTCAGTTTTCTCATACTTTCTGATACACCTTGTTAGCAAGCTCAGTCTGTGTAGATCCAACACTGCGTGTGGAATAACTTTAAGCCTCTTGCTTGAACGAAATATAACACACTATTAGTGACTTTGACGTGAAATGAATTGTTTGATCATTGTATGATTGATTCAATTGATACCAGACATGAGGGTGCAATAAAAGTTTTTTTAAATTATTCAGTATTCAGTCTTGGAAAAGGTAGCAAAATTGTACAATTTTAGATTTACACAAAGATTTCGGGCTATACAGCCATTTTGCCAATTTTTTTCTCTTCTATGAATCAGGTGGTTTATATATTAATTTTTAGGTTGATGGATGCATTTTTCAGAAAATGGTTGTTCCCTTTCAGATAATATGGCGGGAAATTGAACTGCCTGCATTAATTGACAATTAGGAATATTATTACGTGTACCATTCAAATGATGATGCTATTTCAAGACAGTTTATCCAAGTGACTTGATACTGTCTGAAGAATAGCGTACTATTCGAAACTTGGCATCCTAAAACATCTATCTAATGGTCAGGCTATGAAAACTGAAGAATACTTTCTAACTAGAAGATTATCAGCCGTTTAAATTATTATTTAATCCAGGAGGGTGCATTGTTTCCTCTGTTTTCATATTTTCAGCCTTTTGTATGCTGTCGGTGGTTTCGATGGTGAAAAACGCTTGAATACAGTTGAACGTTATAATCCTGAAGTTGATAACTGGGAAGACTTGGCTTGTTTAAATCGTGCTAGATCAGGTGCAGGTGAGTATATAGTTATTTGTTTATTACCTCTGTATTTGTGTGTGTATCCCTGTCTATTTTTCATATGACAGAATTCTTTTACTTCATCGTGCAGCTGAATCATACTAACCTGTTTTCAGCACTCGCACACCTAGTAATATATCTTTTGCCAAAAAAATTACTTTTGATCCTTAAATGAAAACATGTAAACCGGATAGCAGTTGAAAAGCAGAAAATGCTGAACCTTTGTTTTATTCTAGACTAGTACTTTCCTGTGATGAACACATCTAATATCATACGAGATTGACCTTAGTGTCTATATATCATACAACTAGTCAAACTTATTATTATTACTTTCAGATAAAACAATAATCATAGACTTCAATGAGTACCTTACCAGCCATGTTCTCTACCGACTGATCTATGTAACTCAAGTATTAATCACGTCTAAATTTCGTTTCAGTTAATATGATTTCTTGGGTATTGTATTCATTGATCTTGTTTTAAAAATTTCTTATGAAAACCCAATTTCATAATGAAGTGATTGACATTTCGATGAACTGTTATATATTGATAGACAATCTGAAGTCAGTTTACATCAAAACATGATCATAGAAGGTCAGCTGGTGTTAGTTATTTGTTTTATGATATTCATATACCAGGAATGGGATCAAGTTCTTTCAGAGACTTGGGCAATCTGATTCATCTTTAAAGTTATTTGTTGAGATCATGATGTCAAATATTAGAATGAAAACCTTAATTCATTTGGACTTGGTTGTTTGTTTACTGATCGATCAATAATGCACATATTATGACATGGTTGGGCGACAATTGCTCAGGTAATCGAGTTTATTGATTCAATACAGATGAGTGGTAGATAGTCTGCCTGTTCACGATCGTTTCATCAGTTGATCAGCTATTTTATTGGATTATATTAAATGAACCGAAGACTTGTCAGATACTTGGTGATCAACCAGTCGACGGAAAGTATTCAATATAGGTCTTACACTTACTGGAATTCATCGATAAAGCGTATCTATAACTACGAGAAAGATTGTTTTCCTTCCTAAGTTTGAATCCATGTCAAAGACTCTATTAATAAACTGTTCTGGCCTTGTTTCTTTTCGTTGCATAACTCAATTCTTGTAAGACTTCGTCATAAACGCACTTGTGAAGGTCTGCTTTTCGTCTTCTGACCTTACAGTTATTCATCTTGACACAGAAAACTAGTTAGTGAACTTAAAATACGTAGATGACATAGTCCTGTTACGTGAAGACGCAGAGTTTATTGGTCATCTTGAATGGTTATTTAAAAATGTTTAAGATGCGTTTCTAACCACCCAAATACAAATTGTTAATCAAGGACTAATCTGGATTGTTACTTTTTTTCACAATACTGAGCGAAGTAGTTGTGAACTCGGATCAGTCGTGGTGGGCCAGTGACGGATAAGATTTTGGCACGGATACCGAAGTTTTATTTGGCTTTCTATAAATTACTCCATTTATGGTATCAGCGTGATTGCATATTGAGGGTCCAGTGTTGTGTGCTACAGTTCGTTTTGTTCTATCATGTGGGTGTGAAACATGCTCATTAAAAATAGGTGACATGAAGAGGCTTCAACTGTCCCACTAACGTTGCCTTCGCAACATAGATCATGTGATGTGACCTGGTGCCATCAGGTGAGTGAAGTAGAAGTCGGGCGTAGAGTTTCAGAAAAAGAGCATAGTCAGCTGATGAGATTGTGAACCTCCTTCGACTCACACGGCTTGAATATATGTTGCGCATGCCTAGTCACCGTCTGCCTCATCGCAAAATGTTAGCTAAAGTAGATTCAGATTGGAAAAACGTTAGAGGTGACAAGACTGAAATATGGCATCAGTGCATGAATTCTTTAATCATTGATCTGGGTGCGTAGACGAGTTTAAACTTCCAAGTTGGTGTCCGCGTGACAACCACAATCGGTTGCCGGAGACTGTAGGTGATACGGCTCAGTATCTATGAAAATAGTGCAGATAAATGTACACATTATCTTCATAACAATCAATTGATATCTTTGGTTCATAATATATTTAATAGATAACTAGTTAACATTACATCGTATACGATTGTCATTGAGATAGCCAATCAATTCAGAATGTTGAATGAGTTTTCTTTTCGACCAGTTCGACACTGAAAACCTGTTACTTTGTGAATCCTTACAATTCAACTTATTCGCTCCGTAGAAGATGAGAGTGCAAACATAGGCAAATTGTTTTTGTTTATAAAATCTACTCTTTTCATATTATCTATGTCATTTCTAATCCTTCTTCTTTGTCTGTGTTTCTTTTCAAAAAGTTTTCTGTTCCTTTTGTGTTATTCTATTTTTAACTCTTGTCGGTGCGCGTAAATTTTTTTAACGGTTTGATACATTTTCATTCGTGTGTGTTGTGTGTGTGTGTGTGTGCATTTCTGTTGGATTGCGTATACGTGGAGTTTTTCTCATAAACGTATTTATGCATATGCCCATCTCCAACGTCAGCAAGGAATAATAAATATTCGAATAGCACTACACTATTTTTTGTATATTCAGGGCACATCAGTTACCTACAGTATCTTAGTTATATATTTTGTATGTGTGTCTTTAGACATCTTTGTATTGTCGCATATTACCTGAGTGTACACCTTTGGTTAACATTATATTGCGTTGGTCAGATGATCGATTTCCCTGTATTGTAAACCCTGATGCTACTACTTCAACTGTAGTACCATTCACTAACGTTTATTTAAGTAGATAATAAAGAACGAATGGTGATTGCATTGCATTGTAAATTGATTGACGACAGAAAATCTAAATCATTGGATTCCCATCCTGTGTAGATCAACATGTTGGATTAAGCTACTGGTTGTCAATTAGTCAGTGGATAAAATGTTTAAATCTGACAAACCTGGTCACAGGTTTGGATAGACAACTTATATCTCACCGCTCAAGCAAAAAGTGCGATTCATTAAAGGCTAATTGTTCGTTGAGTTGCTTATAATATACACAAAGAGAGGTGCATGAATTTATTGGTCAGTGGTGCAGAATGGTTGAAGATCGAACTTTGCATTTTTTGTTCCATGGAATTGAAGTTACAAGTGTATCATTTATGCTGTAGTGGACATGTGTTATTTGGATTCAAATAGGAAGTTTATGGTATTCATCATGAACTGACATTAGTTGGAGAACCATTGAAAATGCGGGAGTATTGGATTACTGTTTCGTCGTAGTATGAAACTGCTCAGCAGTGTGCAGTGATGACCCCATCAGGAATCGAACCTCGGATCTCCAAGTTCTATGACTATTAAATTACATTACCATTGATACACTGGTTCAAAAACCAATCGTTCATTCAATGACTTCGTTATCTATCCTCATGTTCGACATGGTGTGTCCCACCGGTCATGACTTCTCATTAGGACTTCAAAAATTCTCAACTCGAAACAAGTCATTAATGAGAAATATTTGACTGATATTTTATAATTAACAATTCACCATTTTTATCATTACTTTGTTCAACTTCTACTATCATCGCTATTATTATTCGACTGTTTTGTACTGTCTTTTTTTTAAAGAAAAAAGTGGTTTTACAAATTTCTACAGACTCCTAGAAATCAATCACAATACGCAAATAGATAACATAATGATAGTTAGTGAAATAGTCACAATCTTGAAACTGGTCGAAGTCTATCGACAAAATGTACAATTTATATCTACTTAGCTAAATGATACAGCTTCATATTGTTCTAAATTTGTTATCCGATGCTGGCAATCAATGGACAGTAAGCTCTGCTTGGACTCATATACCAGATGCTTTTATGTGTTTCACTCGCCCAACATCCGTCCTCCCAGATTTGAAATTTTAGCCAAGGTGGTGTTGAACAATGTTAATTATAATTCATAAATACTTATTAGTTCAATGCAGTCTACAATTACGATTACGCGATGATATAATCATACACTCCAAATAGCCATGCTTAAGGCACTTAAGGTGTCCAAAGTGTTGAGAGAGAGAGAGAGAGAGAAGAAAAAAGCGAAAATTAATGCTTGTTTATTTAAATCATTGCTAGTCGATATGCTTTGAAAGGGGGGGATTCAAGGTAAGGAATGCAAGAAAAGGAACAAGTAATATCAGCTAACAGATTAAGTAATATGGGAAGAAATGATATCCATGTTATTGGAATGAACACAGTGAATTGGAATCAGTGAACGAATGAAGTAAAGAATTATGTGATTGAAATCAAACAGAATCGAAATATGGTGAACAGAGAAATCGGTGACTGATCACACCTTTCTTTCTGTATGCTCACATGTGGTTGCTTATGTTTTGCAGCAATTGGTTCCATTATTACTATATTATTATTTGTCCTCAGGATTCCTGATGGAACATAGGGCTTCAGCAGCACGGCTCCATTGCACTCTGTTCTGTGCAGTCTTTTGAACCTCGCTCCACGACTGGCCAGAAGCTCACATTTCTTCCTCATATGATCTCCTCCGTGTCACCCTCGGACGCTGAACTCGTCGTTTCCCATCTGGGTTCCACTCGAGGGCCTGGCGCGTGATGTCCTAGAATGGTCTCCTCAGTGCATGACCAATCCACCTCCACTTCATTCTGCATATTTGTTGAATGATAGGTTCTTGGTTGGTTCGTTGCCAGCCAGCCAGCTAGAGTTCATTGTTGCTTATTCTTATTATTCAAGCCATCTGAACTTCAGCATCGAGTGAACGTAGTCGGCAGCTGTTGATGAATGTCTATAGTTCGTCGGAAATGCTTTCCTTGCCGTGCCAAGTCTCTCAACCATATAAAAGCACTGACTTGATGTTGGTGTTGAAAATTCGTATCTTGTTCCACATGCCGAATGGAGTAGATCTCCACACTGACTATTCCAGATTAATGAAGGAAGGCCTGTTTCGCTGTCTTTCCAATCCTGCTCTCCACATCCTCATCTGTGCCACCGTCTGTAATTGAAACGATGCTGCCTTGCCTGGGAAGGTAGGCAAAAG